ATTCGCCAGGAGGGGGGGGGGGCGAAAAACGCCCCCCGGGCCCGCGAGGGTTAATCTAGTGTATGGGGCTTCTTGCCTCAGGCCGTGGGGCGTTTTGCCCTGGGGGCTGGGGTTGGGGCAAAATGCCCCATTTGCAGTTGCTTCACAAAGCACTTCCTAACTGGGAGTCCGATCATAAGTGAATGAATTTGAGGGATGGAATTTAAAGTAAAATGTCCAAAGAACACATTGAGCACAAATGTGGCCTTCCAGGTGATGTGAGATAAAAGTAGGTAGGTACCTATGTAGCAAAATAAATTATCTGGGGCGTCTTGCCCAAGGCTACCCTACTTTATACACTACGTACATTTGCTATACGTAGGCTTTTGTACGTGACGTACTTTTGTCCATACGTACTTTGTACCCTACGTACTTCTGCGATACGTACTTTTGTCCGTGACGTACTTTTGTCCGTGACGTACTTTTGTCCATACGTACTTTTTACCCTACGAACATTAGCTATACGTACTTTTGTCCGTGACGTACTTTTGTCCATACGTACTTTATACCCTACGTACTTCTGCGATACGTACTTTTGTCCCTGACGTACTTTTGTCCATACGTACTTTATACAGTACGTACTTCTGCGATACGTTCTTTTGTCCCTGACGTACTTTTTTCCATACGTACTTTATACTGTACGTACTTCTGCGATACGTACTTTTGTCCTTGACGTACTTTTGTCCATACGTACTTTATATTGTACGTACTTCTGCGATACGTACTTTTGTCCCTGACGTACTTTTGTCCATACGTACTTTATACTGTACGTACTTCTGCGATACGTACTTTAATCCTACGTACTTTTGCTTACGTACTTTTGTCCTACGTACTTTAGCGATACGTACTTTTGTCCGTAACCCTCGCAAAGTACGTAGGACAAAAGTACGTGCGGAAAAGTACGTAGGCGATAAATTACGTACGACAGATGTACGCACGACAAAAGTACGTACGCAAAAGTGCGTATGCAAGAGTACGCACAGTATAAAGTACGTAGGACAAAATAACGCAGGCAAATATTCGTACCCAACAGTACGTATCTCCCTCGGCCGGCGCGTGTTTAGAAAACCAACCGGTCCGGCGAGGGGCAAGTGTCAGTTTTGGAACCAGAGAACCACTTTCAGTGGATACGAGCGTCGTTGGGATTTAATTCGCGCTAAACTGGTGTTTGGCCACACTGTGCGGCGGCGCGACTCACGTTGGGATTTAATTCTCGCTAAACTGGTGTTGGGCCACACTGTGCAGCGGCGCGGCTCACCCGGGACCCGGCGGCGGCCGCGTGACGCCGGCGCCGATCATGTGCAGGTGCAGCGGGCCGTCACTGAGCCGGGCGGCCGGCCTCCGGTGCTGATGTCGCCGCTGATGGGAGACGGCAGCGGGCCGTACACCAGCACAAACCCGCCTGCAACGGAACAACCATCGGGTTAACAGAGGCACAGAGCGGCCAATTACTAGCGCTATACGGGGATACACAACAGCCGGCCGGTACATGGGGGGGGGGGGGGACGACGCCAAACCGGCCAACTGGGCGAGCAGACACACGGCACAGGTACACAACAGGATGCGTAGAGGGGATGGCCATAAAGGCGAGCGTTTGCGTGGAGGCTAGCTCATGGCAAGAGCTGATAACATTTTCTAAATAAATTCAATGGAGCGCCCAGGTTTCAAAGGTTTAAAGTGCAAACGGTCGAACATCAATTATAGGCATGGGCATGGATGTTAATGATCTTACGATGACCGTCTCTCACTGCCCCTGTAGTCGCTATGCTATCCCCCAGTGACCGAGTACCCTGTCTGCAGGCCCAGTCGTCGGGCGGCGGCTGATCCCGCGGCGGGAACTGATGGCGCGCCACTGCCGGCTCCGCGTCTGCAGAGCTCCGCCGGCGCCGGCCGGGGTTCGACTCGGCCGGGGGCGGTACCTGCCATACGGGGGGGGGGGGGGGGGTGTCAAGACACCGGACAACTATCCGGGTGCAGAGGTAACACAGTCAACATGGGCCATGTCATCTAACCATGCTACTCAGCCACCAGCATTCTGGACATTCAGAAGCAGCTGCTGCAGTCCATAGAGCCGCACTGTGTGGCGCGTGTATACTGGTACCCCGAGGAGCGCGGCCGGCCGGTGCGGTCCTCACCAGGTCCACCATCAGCTCGGTGAACACGTTCCCCTCGGAGCACGTGGTGGTGGGCGCGCCCTCCGAGACGGGCCGCCGCCGGCGGACGACGAGCCACTCCCGCACGGTTCGTCGGAAGGTCATGTCATGCTCAAAAGAAACGGCATATACCATTCCAAACCTGACGGTGAGCAGATTCCAGAAACGTAATTTTTATCAAAATCGCTCGATGGCCTTTTTAAAAATTACGTTTGTGTAAAAACGTTATTTTTCATTTGACGGGCTGTCCCAGGATTTCTTGAAATCATAGGCATATTTTCTCCCACAGCCAACAATAAGGCGCAATCACACAACTCAGTCTCACGATGGACGAAAGTCAGTCACACAGACGCGTGAAACGGCCCTTATCAACTCGCAGACCCGGCGCTCTCGGCTTGTCTGACCGGCCACGGAAAGAACGTTCGGCTCTCGTTCTACTTAACAAATGTCATATATGTCAGTTTAACGATCCATACCGCTATCAAAGCTATTCAGGATACCTGCGAAGAAAGTTCAGTGTTCTGCTAGATTTACAATATTCTTTGATTTACATTTTCATACACATGTTTTGCTCCATCTAGCTGCGCTCATTGCCCGCGCAGGGAAAGTTAGCGGGGTTTCACTGTCAGAGACTGTACCAGCGACAGCTGTTCGGCCTTGCGACCGGTCAAAGGTTACCTTGCCTCACCGGGCGCTACCCTCACTCCAGTCCAGTTGAGGCCGAATTTCACGCATCAGTTGTGAAAGCCTGGCGTCTGTGGATATGCTGTATAGTCTCTCTTGAAAGTATCGCGTCAGGGGCTGCGGCGGCTCGGCGAACTATTCCATTCAGTTTGGGGACCCCAGCAGTGAGGTCATGGCCTGTATCATAAAAAGTACGCTGTAACACGATTCTACGCCAGCGGTAGGAGGAAAACTGCTATATGACGCAGGCACCAGCGGCTGACAACTGGGTCAAAACAGCAGAGGCCGGCCAGAGTTCATGCTCGTATCGCTCTTCCTTGACCCCGTCCCCCGCCCCAGGCGGATAGCGGCGCCGCCTGGGCTCACCAGCCGGGCGCTCGTCGGTCTGCCTTAGTGGGCGCCAATCACGCAGTGTGCGTGACGCGAAAATCACATCAAAGCAAAGTTCCGCCATAATCCTACTGTAAAGAGGCCTGCTGAACGACGTCAACAGGTCATGAGGGGGGGGGGGGGGCAGCCTGGCATCAAATAAGGCTTTTAAAAAGAAGACGGCTGAACAATAAACATTTTTTTTTGTCGTCGCTTACTAACCAGCTCATTAAAAAGAGAGAACTCCAAATATAGGACTAATTGGCTAGAGAGCGAATTGGCGAATTGGCTAGAGAGAGAGAGAGCTTTTGCTTTTTTTAACCCGATCGCGGGTGCGTCTGCAAACACGGATGCATTCTGTTAGCGGGTGCAAGTGAGTGCAACCGATGTTTTTTTCGTATTCGGGCACGGGTTTCCGGATTTTACAACAAAAATATGTGACAGTCGTGCCGATGACGGCTGAAATGATTAACTTTGCAATGAAACAAAGCTCAACAAATCCTCTGCGAGTAGGTCGGCTTCCGTTGACTATATGCTTACTGCCATCACCAGTTAGCGGACGGCGACTCCCACCTCCCCTATCCCTCCGCAGTCCGTAACCACTCCCCTCGGCCCGCCGCGCCGGCTGCCTCCGCGTGTCAGACTTCGGTCAGTGCCACCAGCGGCTCTCAAACCTTTCCGCTCAACCGCGGCTGGGACAGGCAGCGCCTTCCCTCAGAGTCGCGATACTTTCAAGAGAGACTATACCACCGGACACGGTTAGTTCAAATCGTCACTAGGTGGCAGCAGCGTCAAACGCCTGAAGAAATACTGTACCGACAGACACAAACTGTAGTTTCAACCTCGCCACTAGATGGCAGAGGCGTCAAACGCCTGTGGATATGCTGCACCGCCAGATACGGGTGGTTCAAATCCTTCCACGGGCAGCATACAACGCCTGCTGAATGCTGATATGCTGTGCCGCCAGACATGGATAGTTCAAATCTTGCCGGTAGGTGGCAGTAGTTTCCAACGCCTGTGTATATGCTGTTCCGCCGGACATGGGTAGTTCAAATCGTTCCACTAGGTGGCAGTAGCTTCCAACGCCTGTGTATATGCTGTGCCGCCAGACACAGTTAGTTGCAATCTCGCCGCTAGGTGGCAGTAGCGTCAGGCGCCTGAAGCTATGCTGTGCCCGGTGCCGCCACGCTCGGAGAACCAAAGCCACTCTTACCATGCACCGCCATAGGGTTAATGGTAAAATTCTGAAACTATTGTTAGGGCTCGGGCCCTACCAATCCTATACAAAACGACACACATGGCGGCCAACTTTCCTTGTCTGGGCATTATATATCTAGCTGAATTGAACAAAGTAGACATAAACAAATGCACATTAATACTGTACAAGATGACATGTACAAGTTCTGTGAAGATGTCATAACAATAAATCTTATTCTCAGGTATCCCGAATAACTCCAGTACTGACTTGAATCGTTAAAATAACAAATATGACGTCCGTTTAGTAACGAGAGCCGAACGTTCCTTCCGTGGCCGGTCAGACGGGATAGAGATAGAGACAGCACCAGGTCTGCGAGTTGATAAGGGCCATTACACGCGTCTGCGTGGCTGACTTTGGTCCATCGCGAGACTGAGTTGTGTGATTGCACCTTATTGTCGCGGGACGGGCGGCTGCGGCGCGACGTCTGCGGGGTGGAGGAGCCTTCGGCCACATTTCCCGGTGGCTTCCTCACCTTGAGCGTGTCGGCCTCGTCCGTTTTAGACTGACGCTCGCGCTGCGCAGGCCGCGGCCTGCAGTGAGGTGAGCCGGCGCTGCGGGGCGGCGCGCTGCGCCTCGCAGTTCTCGTGCTGCTTCATCCTGTGGAGGGGGGGGATGGGGATGTTACCGGGAGTCGTGTGGGGGTGGAGATGTTACCGGGAATGGAGACGGAATGGAGAATGGAGATGAAAATGTTACAGGTTAAGTCAAACATTAGACCATTAGTTAACATACTATCATCATTAGTAAGCAGGGATGCGGAAACGGAGCCGGAGTCGGAGCCGGAGCCGCCGGAGCCGGCATATTTTGCCCGGAGCCGGAGCCGTGAAACAATATAGCCCGGAGCCGGAGCCGCGAAAAAAGGGGGCGACTCCGGCTCCTTTTTATTTTTTGAAGAGGAAAAAAAATAATTGACCTAGCTCGGTTTGACAGTACAAGGCAGTAAAACATATGGTACTATTGGTCTCAAGATAAGGGCCCAGGCGACCTGTAGTTTTGATGCGGTGAATACCCTCACCCTCGCCACAACTCGAGTGCGGGGAGGCGCTGGCTGGGAGGAGGGGTGCACTCGGCCCGAGTTGTGGCGAGGGTAAGGGTATTCACCACATCAAAACTACAGGTCGCCTGGGCTCTTATCTTGAGACCAATAGTACGTCATGGGCCATCAAGTGAATGAAAAAAGCCGAATATCCCCAGTATCCCACAGTACGCAATCAACATCCTGTCTGCTCCTCCCCCCCCCCCCCCACGTCCACTGCATCCCCAGAACATGAGGACCGGTCATCAGGTGACGGCCATTGTTTTGAAGCCAGTGCAGTGGACTGCGACTCCCAGCGCCGTCTCTTCCCACCCCCACCCCCCAATGCAGCCGAGACGGGTGTCAGCTTACGATAGTTCAGTGAACTCCGATTCGCGGCGACTACGTTTCCAATGCCATCGCTTCCTAGTCCTTTGTTCTGCCAGTTCTCTCCGAGGTGCGTTTGCGCAGAGTCGCGGTGAGCCGGTCATGGCCAAGAGTAACGCGTATAACCAATCCAATTTTTCTTCCACCTGTATTTAATTGATTGCATAGGGGATGTACTGAGTCGGAGCCGGAGCCGCCGGAGCCGGCACATTTTGCCCGGAGCCGGAGCCGGAGCCGCCATAACATTTCACCCGGAGCCGGAGCCGGAGCCGGAGCCGATTTTTTTCTCCGGAGCCGGAGCCGGAGCCGTCTGAAATTTCCACGGCTCCGCATCCCTGTTAGTAAGCATATCATAAGCAGGCTCAGGGCAGCTTCCGCCTTCAGACCTCTCCTGTCTCCATTTTGCGACTTGGAAACTGGCGGATTGTTTCTTTTTTTGGGGGGGGAGGGGGAGAGGGGGCAACTCATGCAAGGAGCCAAACCTATGGTACCCCAAAATCCTGTTTTCTTATCGGATTTAGGCCCCTTATTTTTCGTCATAGCCCTGACACCATATTTTTTAAATTAAAAAAAAAATACCTAGAAATAGTAGCCCACCCGACCCACGCTTTATATTACTTCGTAAACACTTCACATTCCTTTTGTCGACCAGTTAACCGGCTCCCGGTCTAACCTTGGAAACTGCCAACGGCTAACTCGGGAACGGTCAACGGTCGGTTGTTTGCCGGCCGCGGGGCGCGGGCAGAATGTGCCCGCCTCGGGAGCCGACTCCTCGGGGTCTGACTCCGCTCGCCCTCGGCGTCGTCAGGGTGGAAGTCCCTGTCGTCCTGTGCGTGGGGAGGGGAGGGAGCATTAGTTAGATCGGAACAGTAAACAGAGGTACGGTACAGCGAAGAAGCACGCTTAGGGTACACTACACACTACACAGCTATCCGGCCTCGGTACAACGAAGCTATGCCCGGCGGCTGTATGTCCCCCCCGCCGCACCCACAAAATAACAATAATTATTAATTACACACAATAACAACAGCTAAATTAATTACCCACACACAATAATTACACCTCGATAGAAGACCAGAGTGTCAAGCTGAATCGGACTTCAGATGTGTTCTGTGCAGGAACATTATAGCAAATATTTTGTTGACCCGCGCCGTGCTGGTGGCCTGCGTTTTCCGTGTCGTGCTGGGGGGGGGCGTTTTCACGCCCCCCTCGGCCCCTGGGTCACGTAGCGACGCGCGGTAAGCGGCAATCGAAAGAGCGTCAAAAATAATGACGGAAACGTTTCGGTCATTATTTAGGTCTGGTTCATTGGAGGGTCAGGTTGTCAGGTCATCAAATGTCAAATTTACTCCATTTTAATAGTTTTGAAAACTGCCAACGGCTAACTCGAAAATCAATAGAGCTACAGCGCCGCGGAAAAGCGCATTCGATAGCCCTTTTACACACCTTTTGAATATTCTTCTCAGATTTACCCCGCAAACAGAAAATGTGCCGCCCCTATACTGACTGCCCCATTCCATGGAAATCCTGGATCCACCTCCGCTACTCACTTACTTCTGTCCTACGTACTTAAGCAATGCGTACTTTATCGTTTATGCTGCCAAAACCTGCAGTGTTCCGGCACTGCTGAGAGTCGATACAGTGCTGCCACCTACCGCCCCGTCGTCAGAACCTGCGGATAGTCTGTGGGTGGTAGGTGGTGCTGCCACCTACCGCCGCTTTGTCAGAACTCACCGGGTACTTTGCTGCCGGCTCTGTACGGTGCTGCCACCTAGGTGACGGCCATTCGTATCGTACGTGTCATTGATTCGCGGACTTTAGTACGCATCGCAAAAGTACGTGGGACAAAAGTACCGAGTACGTACGCAAATGTACGTACGCAAAAGTACGTAAGTGATAAATTAGCACGACGAAAGTACGTACGACAAAAGTACGATAAAAGTACCTACATACGCAAATGTTCGTACCCAACAGTACCTACGTATTCCCCTCGGCCGGCGCGTGTTTAGAAAACCAATAGGTCCGGCGAGGGTCAAGTGTCAGTGTTGGAGCCAGAGAACCACTTTCAGTGTATCCGAGCGGCGTTGGGATTTAATTCGCGCTAAACTGGTGTTTGGCCACACTGCGTCGGCGGCTAGGCTCACCCGGGACCCGGCGGCCGCGTGACTCCGGCGCCGATCATGTGCAGGTGCAGCGGGCCGTCACTGAGCCGGGCGCCCGGCCTCCGGTGCTGATGTCGCCGCTGATGGGAGACGGCAGCGAGCCGTACACGGACACACACTCGCCTGCAGCGGACCAACCGCCGGGTTAACAGAGGCACGGAGCGGCCAGTTACTGGCGCTATACGGAGATACACCACAGCAGCGGGCGGTACATGGGGGACGACACCAAACCGGCCAACTGAGCGAGCAGACAGTGACTCCAATTTAATACATACAATACATACATACAGACGCACGGCACAGGTGCACGACAGGATGCATAGAGGGGATGGCCATAAAAGCGAGCGTTGGCGTGGAGGCTAGCAGCTCGAGGCAAGAACTCACAACCTTTTCTTAATCAATTCAATGGAGCGCCCAGGTTTCAAAGGTTAAAAGTGCAAACGGTCGAACATAAAGTATAGGCAGGGGTGACGGGTGTCAATTATCTAGCCAAGACCATCTCTCACTGCCCCTTTAGTCGCCATCCCCTCCCCCAGTGACCGAGTACCCTGTCTGCAGGCCCAGTCGTCGGGCGGCGGCTGATCCAGCGGCGGGAACTGGTGGCGCGCCACTGCCGGCTCCGGGTCTGCAGAGCTCAGCCGGCGCCGGCCGGGGTCCGACTCGGCCGGGGCGGCGCCTGCCAGACCGGGGGGGGGGGGGGGGGTGTCAAGGCACCGGACAACAGCATAAAACGCCTGCTGATATGCTGTGCCGCCAGACATGGATAGTATAAAGCTTGCCGGTAGGTGGCAGTAGCTTCCAACGCCTGTGTATATGCTGTGCCGCCGGACATGGGTAGTTCAAATCGTTCCACTAGGTAGCAGCAGCGTCAGGCGCCTGTGGATATGCTGTGCCGCTAGACACAGTTAGTTCAAATCTTGCCGGTAGGTGGCAGTAGCGTCCAACGCCTGTGTATATGCTGTGCCGCCAGACACAGTTAGTTGCAATCTCGCCGCTAGGTGGCAGCAGCGTCAGGCGCCTGAAGCTATGCTGTGCCGCCACGCTCGGAGAACCAAAGCCACTCTTACCATGCACCGCCATAGGGTTAATGGTAAACTTTTGAAACTATTGGTAGGGCTCGGGCCCTACCAACCCTATACAAAACGACACACATGGCGGCCAACTTTCCTTGTCTGGGCATAATATAACTAGCTGAATTGAACAAAGTAGACATAAACAAATGCACATTAGCCCTCGCCAGCACATGGGGGGAGGGGTTGCCCCCCCCCAGGTAGTCTTTCTGCTCTGCACTCAACATTTTTATAGCTAAGAGGCTGATTTTTCGTATAGCTGCTCCGCTATCCTTTCTTGATGTCCACTGAAAATTTCAAGTTTCTGTGGTTTTTGGTTTCGGAGATATGACCTTGTTTTTTCAGGTCATGTCATGACCCAAATGGCCAATTCTCAACATCTTGCGTTGGCTATGGGCCTTGTGAGCTTTTGACACCTTGATTTCGGCCTTTTTTACCAGTCTTACCTCCCACCTATCATGGAACATGTTGTTCGACGATGTATAGATGTCAAGGTCAAGGTCAAGGTCAACCTAGGTCATCTAAGATAATTGCGTTTTGGGCAAGCGGAATTTACTTTTTGTGAAATTTTTTGACTACATTTTTGGTAAAAGCTTCCAAGATCATGATTTCATGTAATATGGACACAAACAATCGATGCACTCATCAGTATACACACAGACACACACAGACATACAAACACATATAATTGCCCTTGACCTAACTTGACCTGAAATGACCTCAGCAGCAAAAACCTGGTCTGGTAGTGTGACAAAGAGGCTCTAGCTGGCTTGGCACCAGAAAACGGCATCGTCATCGGTACATGATAAGCAGCGCACTTGATATCCAACGGTGACCCAGAACAGCAGCATTTTTTAGATTGACCTGCCTGAACTGGAAGGTCAATGACTGACCTGAGAAGGTAAAACTGGGTATCATTGGATTCGTCTCTTCCCAACGAATCTTTTTGGTCCTTATTACTAAGCTCTATCTCCAACAGGAACGAAATGGCGCGGGGGGGGGGGGTGGCACCCCCCATGTGCGTTCTAGGATGGGAAAATGGCATGTACGGGCGAGGGTTAACCCGCGCCCCAGTGTCAGTCTGGATTTTCCACGACCTGGTGTGGGGGGGGGGATGTTTGAACACCCCCCCCTTCTAACTCGGTTCCTGGGCCACGTAGCGACACGCAGTAAGGGGCAATTGAAAGAACGTCAAAAATAAGGACGAAAACACTTCGGTCATTTTTTGGGTCAGGTCAAAGGTCAGGTCACCAGAAGTCACCAAAGGTAAAATGTTGACTATTTCAACATTTTGGAAACTGCGAACGGCTATCTCGGGAACCGATAGAGCTGCAGCGCCGCGGAAAAGCGCATTCGATAGCCCTTTTACAGACCTTTCTGAATAATTTTCTCAGATTTGACCTCAGTTCAACGGTTTAGCCTCCAGAGGGCAAAAACTCCAAAAATAGCCGTTTTTACGAAAATCGTTTTTTTTTCGGCGATAACTTTTGACTCAAAAGAGCCATGACATTACTTTTGCCAGCATCGTGTTCCTCTCGTCGAGACGCGTCGAATGAACTATAAGTTGACCTTGAAAGGTCAACTGGAAAATTTGACCTCGGTCAAGGTCATAACCTGAAGGTCATGTTGCATATCAGTCGATCCGCTACGTCGAGCCGAACACATCTAAGACGTTTTCAGCGCTCTAGCACGCCTCTATCAGAAGTCATTAGCAAAAAAACTGTTAGATTCTGTTCGTGACCTGAGATGACCTCGGGGACATAACGAGGGGTCACAGTTGCCATTTTCCGGTTCAGTGTATCAATTTTACCTACATCTCGATGTTTGAGAGTGTTTAGAATAGCGTTCGTGCAAAACAGACGCTTTTCAATTTTCTCCCATTGACTTATAATGGAGAGGCCGCAAAATTGACCTGACCTTAAGTCACCGATATCAAAATTCCGAGATATACATTTTATAGATACTGTTACCCTCATCAATCGCTGAAAGTTTCAAAGTGATCGGTCGCTCGGTGTAGCTATGGCAGACATTGAAACTTTTTATGAGGTGAGGTCACTTCAAGTGACCTGGTGACCTGACCTTGAGCGACCTTGGTCTGAAATTTTCACAACATGTGTAGAATTGATGTATGATAAGGTGTACCAAAAACGGCTACGCTCAGCGCCACCGTTTTTGAAATATCTGCGAAAAACCGCAGGGGGTGTGTGTTCAAACCCCCCCCCCCCACACACACACTTGGGCGCGGGTTAATACCTGGGCCTCGTTTCATAAAAGGAATTACTTACGGCGTTCCGTCAATTATGCCAGATTTGGCGTATTTGATGCCAATTCGGTTTCATAAAGCCGGAGACCGGAGTAATTCACGCCATCGAAATTACGGAGCTTCATTTACGGCAAATGCTCGATTCCGGACCAATTGATGCCATTTGGGTTTCATAAAACGACGTAATTAACGCCAAACATTTTATCAAGTTCTTGATATCAGTGGTGTAAACTACGCACAAAAATGTTGCGTGAATTTGAATTAATGTGAAGATTCGAAGCCAATTTTTAATATATTTTATGATGTTGAGCCCGATGAGGAAGAAAGAACAGCCAAAATGAGAAAAAGAAACTGCAAATCTTCTGTACCAGTCGCTTTTTGTGGCCACTATCGGAATTTGGTTTATTCGCCGCGCCGCGCCACTTTCGTAGTTGGGCACTTCTGCTTAGCTGGCTTTCTGCTGTTTTCAATATATTGATTTAATAAAGGATGGTCATCAATATCAATTTTGTTTTTTCATAAATAATTTTTAAGATTTAAATTCAACATAAATGTTGTATAATTTCCCGTAAAAATAAGTGTTAACATGAAATTGCAATTTGTAGGACGCTTGATAAATTACAGCAACTACGCAAATGTGCTTAGTTACGGAGGTGTAAACAATTCCAGTTGTGGCTTTGTCAAACCGCTTCATTTGCGCTCCGTAGTTTGAAAGGGTGTGAATTACGGAAAGGTGTAAGTTACGGCAGAGTTTTATGAAACGAGGCCCTGATGTGAAGATGATAGAACAATATATCTTAGTCCCAGGTATCCGAATAACTCCAGTACCGACTTGAATCGTTAAATTAACAAATATGACGCCCGTTTAGTAGATCGAGAGCCGAACGTCCTTGCCGTGGCCGGTCAGGCGGGCCGAGAGTGTCGGGTCTGCGAGTTGATAAGGGTCATTTCACGCGTCTGTGTGGCCGACTTTCGTCCATCGTGAGACTGAGTTGTGTGATTGCGCCTTATTGTCGTCGCGCCGTCTGCGGGGTGGAGGAGCCTTGCCACATTTTCCGGCGGCTTTCTCACCTTGAGCGCGTCGGCCTCGTCCGTCTTAGCCTCACGCTCGCGCTGCAGGCCGCGGCCTGCAGTGAGGTGAGCCGGCGCTGCGGGGCAGCGCGCTGCGCCTCGCAGTTCTCGTGCTGCTCCATCCTGCGAGGGGGGATTGAGATGTTACCGGGAGTCGTATGGGGTGGAGATGTTACCGGGAGTCGTGTGGGGGTGGAGATGTTACCGGGAGTCGTGTGGGGGTGGAGATGTTACCGGTAGTCGTGTGGGGTGGAGATGCTACCAGTAGTCGTGTGGGGTGGAGATGTTACCGGGAGTCGTGTGGGGTGGAGATGTTACCGGGAGTCGTGTGGGGTGGAGAATGGAGATGTTACCGGGAGTCGTGTGGGGGTATCTAAGGCATAGGGCAAGGAGTGCGGAAACAAAAAATGAGCGTGATCGGACCTGTTAGCCGGTGGCCAGAGCCTAAATTGTGAACAAGGCAGAATGCTGACAATTTTTACTTTGACCTGACCTGTGACGTCATCGGTGACCTCGAGGCCAATGAAATTAGGGGAAAGTGGGTGTATTGCGCCCTCCTAACCAATTGCGCCCACCAACATTCCCACGGATTTAATGGCATGTTTTGAATGTTGTGTTCGAAAACATTATTTTCCCCACTGGATAGTTCCTTTTATGGCCCAAACTCTCCGATGAAGCCAATCAGCAAGGCTCATTACGCCATCAAAGATGTTACGGCGTTTTCTTAGCTTTTTTGCAGCATTTTGAACCATTGGCTATAAAAATTTGTGATATTTGTGTGATTTTCAGAGTCATATTTAGAAAGAAAACCCCTTTTTTCATTATATTTCACTGAAACAGTAAACTTCCGTCAACATCTTTGCGATAACTTCTACGCTTTTATTAAAAAGTACCTCAATTTCAATTGCGCCCATGGCAATTGCGCCACGGGGGCGCAAATAGAATAATTGTGTAGCTATTGTGTCACGGCAGTATGAATGCATCATTAACTGATTGCAATAAAGAAGGAGTTTAATGTCAGGCAGGGGAGCAGCCCGCTGTCGTCAGTCCGCAAATTTTTTCTCGCGTCAAACTTATAATGCAGCTGCATTTAGGCTACGAAATTGTAGTGTAATTGACAAAATACGATATTTTCAACATGGACTCAGGCGTGAGAGGTGACAGCTATGATAAAAAAGTAAAAACTGATGCCATAAAGCTGTCGAAACGATAAAAATTATTAATTTTGAGAGAAACAATCGAAAATGTAACCGCATAGGCGCATACGTTCACATATATCTAGTCGGTTACAGTAAACGTTTTCGTTGCACTTTTACAAGCGTACGGACACATGTTAAGTTATCTACCTGGGTAAAAAACATCGCGATTTACACCTACATTTATTATTTAACCAGCGTGAATAACATTACGAATGTTAAAGTAAGCCGCAATGGCATTAGACTGCCGGGGTGTATGCATTCCGTCTCATTCGCTTAGCCATGTTAAAGCATAGGGCGCAATTGGGTTCTAATTGCGCCATCCCCCTGGCGCAATTTACAGCAGTTGTTGGCAAATGCGCCCTTTTGCATGTTTCTACAAAAGCAACTGTCAGAAGCAAACGAAACGTTCTTAATTGATCGGAAGGGTCTTACATCGTAGCCAATGAGTTCCTCTTTGAAGTGGTTACCAGTGCATGCTTATATATCCAGCAGTTTTCTAACAATTAGCGTTTTTCCTAAAGGTGGCGCAATTCACCCTCCTTCCCCTATAGGCTTAGCTTGACAGTTGTTCCAGGGCTATCAGATGCCGTTTGAATTTTGACAATCGGCCCAGTAGTTTCGGACAAAACATGTTAGTGCAATCTTGGTTTTATTGGTAGCCGTAAGTGGTAAAAGTAGGTACTTTTATTCACTGTTAAAAACAACACTTGGCATATGGGGGATTCACCCCCGGTCTTGAAAAGTGGGGGTCGTCGATCGTCATCGTGACGAGCTTTGTCCCAGGAATCTAATGATGCCATTAATTTTCACATACAATATTCAGAAGTGCCTACAAATCACGAAAATTCTTATGACGTCACCATGCCCTATTCATGTCGGAGCTATTTTTTACAATTTGGGGGTCAAAAATCAAGATAGAAAACTGAAATTTGGAACAAGTTATGTTCTAATGGACCTTTATATCATATATCCCGTTTTTAATTTTGAGAATTTTGATTTTAGTAACTGTTAAAAAAAAGTTTTATGAATGTTTAGGGGTGAAAACGCATTTGTGGGAAACGCGTGATAGCCATTTTAAAGAACTGAATGAGCTGCGTCTATTCATGTCCTTGATTTGCAATTTGGTTCAAACCTTGATTTTTGGCGATTTCTAATACATTTTTTGACGGAAAAAGCCATGAAAAAGTTATCTCAAGAAAATTGATACCGTAAAGTGGGGCTATTTGAGACAGTGGGGCTATTTGACAGTATTTAAAATCGTTATAAAATGAAGATCGTTTGATTTTTGAGTGATATTTTTGCTCAGGGAGGTGTGGAATCGAGCAGTAAATCGCCTGAGCAAAAAATTAAGCATAAATTTTAAGTGGTTTTTATTTTATAGTAATTTTAAATACTGTCTCAAATAATGCTGACGTTTCCCATTTAAATACTGTCTCAAATAGCCCCATCTTACGGTATCTAAAAAAACTTTTAGAAAAACTAACGCACAAATTTGACAGACGTCATATTGATAAGGTCGAAGGCATTCGATGATACGATAGCGTAAGCGGTTCGTGAGTTATTCCAGAAAAACAGAGGGGGTCGGATCCGCCCCCCCCCCCCCCCGGCGGTCGCGGGCTAACGTGTCCGTGTCAGCACCATTAGACCCAACATTACGAGCGCAAAATGATCCCCGCAGTCAACGTGCTCTACTCTAAAGCCCTAATAAACAAACAAAAAGACCCGTCAGATAATGTGACGGGCCCGTCAGATAATGTGACGGGCCCGTCGGACGTTCACCGTCTACTTACCAAGCTGCGGCGACAGGGTGGACGCGATCGGAACCAAATCGGAACAGACTGTCGGTTGGAGTAGATAGTCGCCGGCTCCGGCCCCAGAATACAACCGCCAACATCATAAGAGCCGACCAGCCTTGGGCGAAGAGACGCGCCCACAGCCACCGCCGTCAACACAGGACCGCCGCCGGGGGGACGGGGGATGGGGGGGGGGGCGGTTGGAGGGGGGACAGCAGAAAAGTTGGGTACGCGATGCAATGTCATGATATGCGTTCTTTGAACAATGAGCATGGCTTTTAAGTATCATGTTTGTTAAATACCTATCAATCATCACAGCATTTGATCAATAGCAGAACATTGCATTGAATATTAGTTTGACTGTTGTTACGTTAATGACAATTTGGACCATGGTCCATGATAGAAGTAGGGCTAGAACCCGACAATTGCTCAAATATTTATAAGGGAAGGATGTGAATGTTTGACGAAAAGAAATCCAGTCGATGATTGTACTTGAGCACGGAAAAGTCGGTCGGCTGTCGTCATTCGATAGCTTCTGCCGACCGTTTTTCGGTAAGACAGCATCGACCCATCGACCGCCTATTGGGAGGGGGGGGGGGGCAGGGGGTTCTGTTTTTCATAGCCGCACCAATCGCCGTCCAATGAATTTTGAAGGTTCATGTCACGACACTGCATACATTAACTCTGCAGAAAAACGTCATTTTTGGTAATTGTATTCGTGTAAAGCAAGTTGAAACCGTCACAAAAAAGGACACCTATGCAAGCACAAAACGAAAATTTGCTATCACGGTAGGCACTTCGTAAGGACGCCGGTGAAAACAGGGCGCCGGAGGGCATATTAGTCACGTGACATTTGGAGCTTCTCCCCCTCCGTGCGGCCTTCTACATGCAAAACATCACGTGTGAATTTCACGAACCTTGATCAAATCGCCCCAGGCGCCCTGTTTTCACCGTCGTCCCTTCGTAACATCATGATACCAAAACTACACATGAATTGGAATGCACCAGTCGAATTATCATTCGCAAAAAAATTTCACTCATAGGCATAACTTTTAACTTACCTATAAATTGCAGGCACGCTCATGAAGGTTAACTTGTTGTTCGCCTTTGATTCTATCACGACTCTTCAGTCAGTCATGGAATATCAAACCAGAAAAATTCAATCGTTGATAATCCGCCGGGTCAATGAACGTAAACAATGCACGTGACGTCTCCGCTCCGTTGGCGATTTCGAGGTCAGCCGGCGGCAGTGGGCCGACCGGGGCGGCCGCTGATTGGTCAGAATAAGCGGCCACCTGATTGGCGGAGCGGTGACCGGGCGGCCCCCTGATAGGTCGCCGCCGACCCGGCCGCTTCAGAACACGCGCTGTCAAACAGTGAAATGTGTGATAAATCGATTGCAAAAATATCTGATTATCTCACAGGGAGGGGGGTATCTGGTGCATTCACCTCTTCGGTAGCCTGCTAAATCGTTCAACATTTGTCGCTTTCCGTTGATTGACAACAAAACAGCAATTTTTACAAGAAAAGGTCTTACTTTTACTATCTCAGCAACGCATGAGGTACCCAAATCGGAGGAGTCTAGATAATTTGGGACGATTTTTTTGGGAGAGAATACCCCGTAATGTTCAGAACTGCCTTTCAGCATCGGCCAGTGTACGAGTAAGACACAATTAGGCCAAACAATTGGCTACAAACCTATGCTAATAATCAGCAATTAGCCAAAAACCGGACACCCGACGAACAACCAAACTCGGCCGGCCGGTCTCTCAGCCGGCCATACCTATACGCCACAGCTGGTGGATACGCGTCGGGCGGCCGGGGCGGGGGGGGGGGGGGGTGAGGGGGGAGCGGAGGGAAGACGAAGAGAGCATTTGGCCGCACAAGTCTATCTCGAAACAGACTTGTGACAGCTCAAGAAAAAAGTGAGCTCGCTCAGCTCAACTCCGTTTTATCCGCTCCCGCTCAGCTCCCGCTCAGTTTAACACGGCTCAGCTCAGCTCACGCTCCGCTCAAACCGGCTGTGCTCCGCTCACGCTCAGCTCAGCTCAGCTCAGTTTCCGCTCAGCTCAGCTCAGCTCAGTTTCCGCTCAGCTCAGCTCAGCTCAGCTCAGCTCAGTTTCCGCTCAGCTCAGCTCAGCTCAGTTTCCGCTCAGCTCAGTTTCCGCTCAGCTCAGCTCAGTTTCCGCTCAGCTCAGCTCAGCTCAGTTCCCGTTCAGCTCAGCTCAGTTTCCGCTCAATTCAGCTTAGCTCAGTTTCCGCTCAGTTAAATTCACGCTTAGATCGTTCAGTCGTTCTTTTTAAATCGGACATGCTTAACCCTCGCCCGTATAGGGGGGGGGGGTCGAACGGACCCCCCCTCTGTTTTTCGCGAATAACTCGCGTAAAAAGCGGCCGATCGCGACGAAACTTTCAGTACCCTCGCGATAATCAATTTTACACCTATCCTGAAAAGTTCATGACCCTGACCCTAATGACCTTTGACCTGTGACCTACTTTTCGAGACCATGTTTGGCCGGAATCGCTATTCGGCGTATGTCGGCTCGCATTAGCCGCGCGTTAGCAGTCTTTTTGTGGTTTCAAGTGTTCAAACATGGGATATGATGTTGCTCTCATGCATTAGGGTGGGTGTCAAGGTCACCGGAAGGTCAGGTCAGGTCATTGACCTTTGATGACCTCGGTTCACTTTTTCGAGTTTTACATGTTTCTAGGCTAGTTTTTGGAGCTGAATTCGAATTTAGCAACCATTTGAACATTTACGAAGCAGTTTTGGTGCCTTCGTAACATGTTACGAAGCTGTCAGAGGCTACTACGAATACCCGGCAAAATCCTTACTGGTTGACCTGACCTGACCCGACCTGGCCTCAATGCATAAAGACATCATCAGTGATCATAACTAACATGATATTCGTGATCAGCACCCCGAAAAACCCCATAGCAGCCACGTTTTACGACGTTCTAACAGGTCCCGATTTTCCCGACTTTTGGGTCATTGACCTGACCTGGAAGGTCAACCGATAACCTAGGACCTTAAAATTGGGTATCATCGGCTTCCTCTCGTCGCGGGCAGCACGCTCGTTTTTTCCGCGAAGCTCTAGCTCGATCAGGGACGAAACGGCAAGGGGGGGTCCAACGGACCCCCGCCCCCTTATACGTTCGCGGCTGGAAAAACACCAATACGGGCGAGGGTTAAAAAACAGACCAACTCTTGGCGCATAAGTAAGTCTCCTCTAACAAGGAGCGAGGCAACTTACACAATGGGCAAAAGAGATAAGCTCATTAAGACCTTGAGACTTTGCGAGTCGTGCGTCTACTTGGACTCAGACTATAGTTACATGAAATGGACTGTTCTTGGCAGTGTTATCACATGTTATCAGAGTGTGCACCCGCGATGTTAACATAACATATAAGTTCAAAATATACGAACGAAAAAAGTCTGGACGAAAAAGTTTACAGACGAAAAAAATGTACAGACGAAAAAATGCCAGACGAAGAAAAGTCGGACGAAAATCTGCTAGACGAAAAAAAAACGCCATGGAATCATCTCAACTAGAGGTGGCAAAATGTGGACCCGAGGACCCGGTCCAAAGAACCAGTCTGGACCCATATGGGTCCAGACCGGTTCCTGGAAAATTTCTGACGGTTTCAACCGGGTCCTACCATAAACTATGCATCTTGCGCACTACACATTATTGCAAAATATGAAGTGAATGAAGTGAATGTTGCTTTGCACACTGTAGCTCGCGAGTATTGCCAGTGGGAAAAAGGCAGTTTTACATGATGCAGCTAATGATACCTACATATAGTTTTATTTTAACTTTTGGGGACCGGGTCCAACTGGTTCCTATCCCAACTTAGACCGGGTCCGACTGGTTCCAGAAATGTCCAGTCGGGTCTGGTTCGAGTCTGGTTCTCAAAATTTTGACTTTTTGCCACTTCTAATCTCAACTAGGCGGTGTTTCACGGCCGAGAGCAGCACGCCCACGCCGCCATCCGCTCTTGGCACCCTGCCAGGAGCTGACGTTACATTTTGGGGTAGTGTTGGAACTTGGAGATAAGAGTTTGTTTATATCTCCATGGAAACCCCATTTGACACGTGTGATAGCAGCGTGCTGTTATCAGTGAAACCTTGAGTGAAACCAAACACCACCCTGATCTCAACCAAGGCAATGTCAACACAATTAGAATTCATAGTCGGCGTGTGAATAAGGGAGCTTTTCCCATATTATGGACATCAGAAGGTGAGAGTTCCAGTTAGCGCCTCTGCCCCACCCCACTTTCAATAGGATATGGTTGCTTAGCCCACATTCAACCAACGAAGAGGAACATTATTTGCTAATTCCTAATTGTAAATATTTTATGCAGAGGTAAGAACCCTTATCGATAAAATTAATTTAAATAACTGCTTAAATAACAAAGTGAAGAATGCTGAATTGTACATTGCGGAGCAGAGTGTCAAGGCGAAGCATCAAAGCCTGACAGTAGGTATTCATCTTGCAGTCAGACTTGAAACTTGAGACTGGCTGTATTAGCCTGTAAATTGGCCAAGACCCTGGTCTTCCAATTTCCATACAATATGGATGAAATAAATTAAGCTTGATTAGTGATTAATATTGATTTCTTTAGAGTTTTGATATTTTTAAGTGCGATCACGAAGGCAGTGTAATTGCTCACTCCATAGCTAGCTCATAGCTGAAGCATCAAATCCTGAGTTAATTTCCAAGCATGAACTGAAAAGAATTAGAACTGGATCAGCTCAGCTCAGCTAAATCAGCTCAGCTCAATCAGCTCAGCTCAATCAGCTCAGCTCAGCTCGCTCAGCTCAGCTCAGCTCAGCTCAGCTCAGCTCAATCAGCTCAGCTCAGCTCAATCAGCTCAGCTCAGCTCAGCTCAGCTCAGCTCAGCTCGCTCAGCTCAATCAGCTCAGCTCAGCTCGCTCAGCTCAGCTCAGCTCAGCTCAGCTCAAGCTCATTCAGCTCAGCTCAGCTCAAGCTCATTCAGCTCAGCTCAGACAGCAGCTCAGCTCAATGCATTACTGAGCCGGCTCAGCTCACAGCTCAACAATTTGGCAAAATGTTGAGCCGGCTCATGAGCTGAGCTGATTTTTGAGCCGGCTCAACTGAGCTGATCACAAGTCTGTCTCGAAAAGCAAATTAGATAAGAAGGCCGAACGATAACTCCCAGCCAGGGGCGCGGGAACTACTTCCAGACGGGGGGGGGGGGGCACCATAAAAGAGATCAACCTAGGGTCCCCCCAAATCTAGTTTGCTCACCGGCTTTAGGCCATTTATTTTTTCATCCCTTGGCTTTTTCAGCAAAAAAGAAAACATTTGCAAAAAGTGCAGTATTTCGTCTCAAAGTTATGGGGGCACCGCCCCCACTGCCCCAGAGTTGGGGGGGGGGCAAGCTGCCCCCACTGCCCCCCCCGCTTCCAACGAGTAGCTTCGAATTCAGAATCCAGTTTTTTACTCGGTCAGTCAGCCCTCCCCTCGTCCTTAGGCAGACATGTGCATGGATGTAGAGTGATGGATCTATGATCTCAGTCAGTGGATCTCGAAGCAAACTGCAGATTAGGATCTATGATGTCACCGGATCCGGTGTGAAACATTTGTCCTGGATCTATGATCTCGTATATGATCTGATGATAAACCAAGAATAGGTACCTATCTTTGATCTGAGTGGATCACACTATGCAATTGCACAACCTTTGAAACCAAGTTTCCAAATTCCAGGTGTTTCTGTGTTTCTGTGTCAACAAGTGCCATAAAACTACACATGAATTGGGGCCAAATGGTATGTAAAAATGTATGTCGCGGAATTTAGTGATATCGATGACCTAAGATCAGGTCAATTTTGCGACCTCCCCATTATAAGTCAATGGGAGAAAATTGAAATGCGCCTCTTTTGGACGAAAGACATTATAAACACTCCCAAACACTGAATTACAAGTGGTTTAAACACACTGAACATGAAAATGGTGTCCGTGACCCCTATTTATGCCCCTGAGGTCATCTCAGGTTACGAATGGTGTCTAACAGTTTTTCGCAAATAACTTTTGATAGGGGCATGCTAGAGCGGTGAGAATGCGTTAGATGTGTTCAGCTCGACGATACGGATCGACTGATACGCAACATGACCTTTTCCGGTCAGGTCATGACCTTGACCTGAGGTCAAATTTTCAAGTTGACCTTTCAAGGTCAAATTATAGTTCATTCGATGTGTCTTGACGAGAGGAACACGATGCCGGTAAAAGTAAGCTCGCACAAGGCTTGGGTAAAAAATTATTGCAGAAAAACTTTC